TCTGGGAGGGGCCTTGGGGTCAGTTTAGATTCTCCTGTTTTGTTTGTTTGGTTTTGGTGTCAACCTATGTGGGAGCCTTGGCCTGCAACAATACCTCCCAGGAAAAGAGAAATTGATGGATGGGTAATTTACTCTAAAACCTCAGCAGATGGTCGTTGGCACCCAGCGAATCTCCCTCCTGTAAACTGTGATTCGATACAGTGAGGACTCTGTTGATTAACTCCAGGGTCACAAGTAAACAGCATGCTTCAAAATGTGACCAATTAAGGACACAGCCCAGGCGTGGGCCATCATCTCTCTCTCTCTCTCTGAAAGGAATCAAGTGAAATGTTCTAAGTGTTCAATTTCACCTGTCAGGGTCACCCAGTTGTCATTACCAGGGGCCTCGTTCTTAGAATCTAGGCAGTTTATTAGCGCGCCATCCTTCTTCTAAAGAACTGTGCGACTCTCTCCCTGGACATTGGTCGGGGGCCAGGGGAGACTCTCCTGATCCTCTCTGACATGATGAAACCTTGTTCTCCTTACCTCATGTTCTTATCTTGAATGAATGAACACAGCGGGAGCAGGAAGGGAAGCTAACACTAACCGTGCCAAGCATCAGGCCAATGGCCTCCTTACAGTTATGAATGAACGGCAAACGTAGTGACAGTCCCCAGTGCTGACCTTTAGCCAGCTCTGGGCTAAGCCCTCCTCTATGCATTATCTCATCTAACACTTTTCAGCAGATTCTGTGATCATCTTCATTGCACAGGTGAGAAAACCGAGGCTGGAGTGGTGCAGTCATGTACCCACCTCCTGCAGTAAGAGGTGGAGCCTGGATCTAAAGCCAGGACCCATGCACTTCACAGCCTGAGCAGTTGAAGGGCAGGACCATCTGCTCCAGATGGTAGCAGACTTCACAGAATAGGTGCTCATGAAATGCTTGCAGAGGTTTAATGCCGCTGGTACCCTCTGCCTGGAAGTCCGCTGCATTCTTTTACGGTTTGTCTTTCCTTTTTTTTCAAACTTATCCCAGTTTCACCTGCTTTAGGAATTGTCCTTGCTTAACAACTTTGCCTGGTCCCATCAGTAACCTCAGCTCAAGCTTCTCTAGCTGCCACATTCCTCCTCACTAACTTGAATTCTCCATTTTCAGGGGCATGCATGTGTGTGTCTGTGCACATACATGTTGTATGCTCATTTACGTGTGTCTCTGAGCACACCCGTGGGTTTCTGCATGTGGGTATCTGTCGGTCTTTGATTAGATGCCCTGATTTTCTGGTCCAGGGATCACTCACTGTATTTTCTCCAGTGGATAAAATTCATTTCTGTGATTGACAAACCTGGACTTCCCATTATCTATTTTGCATCCATCAAAACTTATGCGTTCTTTGCCACTGATGACACTTGGCCCCTTGGACAAGGTCAGCGAACTCTTCATGATCAATGTTTTCATCTGCAAAATGGGAGAAGCCCCCTACCGCACAGGATTAGTTTGAAGATTAAATGGGATGGTGCATGGACAGCTCTCTTAGTACACCACCTTGTACTATGTAGATGCTTAATAAATGGCAGCTATTATCATTATGGGACAGCAAAGAGATATAGAGCAGCCTGTGGTTAATAAGCAAAACCACTCACATGTGCAAAGCACCAGTCACTTTTTGAAATTTTTTTCATTTATTGCCTCTTTGGATCCATATAACCATGTTCAGAGATAGTAAGGAGAGAGAGAGTGAGGGAAAACGCATAGAAGGGAGAAAGCGGAATTTATCACCCCTTCTGCTGTTAGTTCTGGAAGGAATCTCAGGGCTACTCTGGGCTTTATGGGTGAGTACCAGAAGATTTCCAAACCCCTAAAATTAAATGTGTATTATTTATGCACATATTTTATGTGTTCTTCTGCTATTGCTTGTTCTATTGCTTCACTAAATTCTCCAAGGACCCCTTAGATCCCAAATGCTGAGAACCATTAGCCTAATCCAATCATTCATGTTTTATAAGGCGAGAGGCATAGAAGGCTCAGGGAAGGGAAAGACAGATCCTCAGGCTCATGAATTCAGCAGAGTGCCCCTCCAGGACCGGATGTCCTGGTTCCCGTGGCAAAGCCTCCACCCTCACCTTCCAGACTCCTCCTCCATCCACACCTGGCAAAGATGAGGAGGGTCAGGTGAGAACGGCTGCCAGCCAGGGTCCCCATGAGGGCAGCCAGGTAGAGAGGGTCATCTGAGATGCAGGGGAAGAGGACTTCAAGGCAGAGAACCTGGAGCTTGCTTTTTGTGTGAGATGGACACTGATGGTACCAATGTAAAGGTAAAATTTCTAAGCTGATTCTAAGCTGCAAAAGCTTGAGTTAAAGTGTAAAAGATTAGGTATTGTTACAATACCTCTGCTACCCCCGGAACCTGTAATCTCTGTAGTTGTTAGGACAATACCTGAACTGCCCAGTAAATATTTCCATTAATTCCCTGGTTGTTTAATAGCAAAGGGCTCCAAGTAGCTCAGCATGTAAGCATCCAGGCCACAAAACCAATCAGTTTAAATGTGTACCCCGCTTAGGAGTGACCAATCACCCCTGCCCAGACTGTTCCCGCCAATGAATGTACTAATCCTGTCTCAGAGTTGTTGTTCAATTTTCTCGTGCCTCATGATGATTTGTTGTGATGTATGCAAAGCCCCCCCACCTTCTCCAAAAAGTGTACTTAAGCTCTGCTTGACCTCTGCTCTGGGCTCTGGGCTGCTCTCCCTTCCTGAGTGAGCCTGGAACCTCAGCATGCTGAATTAATAAATCACCTTTTGCCAATTGCATGGAGCCAGTCTCTTGTGTGGTCTCTTTCTCCGACGCTCCGCTGGACCCTTACACCAGCAGGAAGTCACTGGCTGACCCCTGGGCTCCTTTGATAACACTCCTCAAAAAAGCTCTGGAGCTGCTGATGATTTGGAATAGCAGGGTAGCGGGGCGGGCTTGAGGACAGGGCCTGAGGCCAGGCACAGGGCAGCTGGAGGTGCTGAGCAGTCATTGCTTCCCATTAAGATGCCTGTGGGTGGAGAGAGGCAGGGACCAGGGAGCACCCAATGCAGTCCCCACCCACCCCACGCACACAGACACGGGTGTCCACGCACCTGAGCACACACACGCGGAAACTTGGATGTTAAAGGATTGAACTTTAGGAAGAGCTTCTCTCCTGCCTTTTCTCCTCCACCCAAACCAGTCAGGGGTGAGGGGAACAGGATGTGGGATGTGGCTACCCTGGATCGTGGAGCAGGAGGAGAGGACAAGCAGAGCCTTCAGGAAGCCTCAGGAGATTTCAAATGGCTTTGGTAAGGTGATGGTCATGCTAATAGTCACAACTTTTAAAGGCAGACCTTTGGCTTCTGAAATTCTTTCACATAGATTTTCCCACGAGTCTCAACCCAGAGGAGGATGCATATTTAATAATGATAACACATTTATTTATTGAGCCTGAGTTATTCACCAGTGTAGTGTGATTTTATTGTCACACGCAGGGAATCTAAAACTGAACATCGCTGCAGATTTTTAAAATCTTTCCTTTGTCTCCACCACATCAATGTGTGAAAGATCATGAAGTGGCTATCAGTTTGGATCTCATGAAAAAAAAATGTGCACACATTTAGAACACCCAAGTGCAAAAGTGTGTTGGGTGTCTGTGTTCATATTTACACGAATCCTGAGGTTTAAACAGCAAAGTCCATTAAATAAAAAAAAAAAACTAGAGGACTGTTCTCCGACCTCAAAAGACTCGTTCTTTAGAGAAAAGCAAAAAAAGGTTTAGTTAGCCTCATTTCCTAGTCTCAGAGATGGTAAGTGGTTCCCTTAATGTCACACAGCGGGGCTGAAGAGTATTGAGCTTTTCTTCTGGACAGCAGGTGCAGCCTGTAACTGCACTGAAAGGTTTTCTTCACCTGGAGTCCAGGGCTGAGCATGAAACTACTCATACAAAGAACTGTGGATCAGCCCCAGCAGAATGAAGGTGAAATTCTGTGTGTACTGCTGCACACTATGTTTATTTGGAGAGGGCTTGGGTCATTTTAAAAACCAGATTTTCAAGGATATCTTAGGAACCATGGCATTATAGAGAGCCACTCAGGAATTTAAGTCATGGTTATCAGTGTTAACGGTATCACTCTAAACTGAGATTTAATAAGAACCACAAACACACACACGCACCAAAACAAACTGTGCAGTTCAGGTTTGGATAAAATTTTGATACTTTTACATAATTCTAGGTCAGTGATTCAAAGTGTGGTGTGGACCAGCAGCATGACTTAAAGGCATATTCTCAGACTTTACCTGCCCACTACAGGGTCAGAAAATTTGGAGGAGGGGCCAGGGAACACATCTGTGTTCTAACAAGCCTTCTGGGTGAGTCTGCTCTTCTAAGTCATTGATTTTGTTAAAAACAAAACAAAACAAAAAATGTTTCTGGGTTGAAATGGTTCATTGGCTTTTGAAAAAAAAATGTTTTTCTAAATTTTTTAATTGATATGTAATAATTGTCCAGATTTATTGAGTTTAGTATTATGTGTGATAAGTGGGGGCATAGTCTAATAATAATTAAACCAGGGCATGTAGCATATCCATCTCCTTATGCATTCATCCTGTCTGTGGTAAGAACATTCAAAATCCTCTCTCCTAGCTGTTTTGAAATAGTCAATCCAACATCATTAACCATGGTCTCTCTGGTGGACATTGGAACAGCAGGACTTATTTCTCCTATCCATCACATGGTACCTGTTGGCCACCGGCACCCCTCCCCCGCTTCCTCTCCCCTCCCCACCTCTGGTAGCCACTACTCTCTGCCTCTATGAGATCAGCTTCTTTATGAGATCATGCAGTATTTATCTTTCTGTGCCTGGCTTATTTCATCTAGCAGTGCCCTCCAAGTTCATCCATGTTAAATTTCTGGTTTGTAATGGTTCATTGGTACTTTAAAAGGTACCAATAATTTTAGGCTAGATTTACAAAAAGTTTAGGCTACGTTTTTTTTTTTTTTTTTTTTTTTTAAAGAGGGCTTCCCATTCCCCACCTTCAGGGTTCAACAAATTAGTACACCTAGTTTGAATTCGGTGTCGGCTTTCAGACTGGTTCTGCACAACCCCCCCCCACCAACTCCTACACTTGCAAAGTCATCTCAGGAACTAGCCTCTCCATCAATAAGTTGCTGGAGGTCAGTCAAGGGCATTCTAAAAAAGTAGCCTAAATACAGGTCCAATATGTCCATTGAGCCAGGGCAGGTGAGCAGAAAAAAATGTGCTTAGGACACTTTGCCACTTGGACAAGGTCAGTAAACTCTTGCCCTCAACCCATCACTTAGCCCCCTGCAGGGCTCCAGTGCCGCGCAGCGCTGGGCAGCAGGGCTCAGACCCCTCCTGTTGCAGGTGAGCAACAGCAGAGCTCTCTACGCCACCTGTCTGCAGAGATGGCTCCTTCCAGGCTCCAACCAGGCTTCCTGCTCCTCTGAATCTTCCCTTCCAGCCCCGTCCAGTCCTCCTCTTCTGCACCTGGCAGCTTCTCAACCTTCTCGGGAGAATCAGTGCAGAGTTCACTCAGCTCTTCCAGCAAGTCTTTCCAGACCTCTCCAGCCCATCTCCCTCCACAGAACGCTTGTCCACATCAAATCCCGGGACTCGAGATGGACAGGCTCATCTTTCTTTTAATGATGTATTGCCATTCCTTCCTCCTTCCTTCCTGTTCCTTCCCTCATTCCGATTCAGCCATTCAATCCAACCCTGTTTTAATGGTCCCAGCTGCTGACCTAGAGGCTAGGAATGATCGAGAACCATCTTGGACTTCAAGGAGCTCATCCATTGATACAAATAACCACAGCCACCACGGCGACCACCCTGCCTGGCATGCTGTGAACATTATCTGATCATACCCACCAACTGAAATTTTCTCGTTTCCTTGTTTCTGTCTTTATTCACTGTCTCCTCCGGTAGCCATGAGGCTAATAGTGGAGTAGAATTGCTGGTTATGGAGTCAATTTTTTTTTAAAAACTGCCCCAAAGATTTCCACAATTGTTTGGAAGTTTTCCTATTCCCCATCAGCTGAGTATGACCATTTTCATTGCTTCACCTTATCTCTGGCAGTTAGTAATGACAAGTTTCTTCATGGTCCCCGTGTTAGTGGGTGTGAAGTAGAACCTTAATCATGGTGGTGATTGTAATTTCTTTGATGACCATTGGTGTTGAACACAGATCCGTGAGCTTATTCAAGCTCCATTCATGGATCTCGTTTTGTGAAGTAGCTTTTCAAGACTTCTGCTCATTGGGGGAGGGGGTGTTTTATTTCTTTTAATTATTGAGTTGAAGGAATCACACATACGTACGGCAAAGTCCTTGGTCACATATATGTCAGATATACATATCCATCTTTTCGCAGCAGGAGTTTTGCCTTTTCTTTTTCTTAATATTTTTTTTTTATTTTTAAGTTTAATAAAATCCAATTAATCAGCTTTTTATGGTTTGTGCTTTTGAAGGCCACATCTAAGAATATTTTCCTACTTCAAACCCATGAAGACTTTTTAATAGAAACCTTAGAGCTTTAGCATTTCAATTTAGGTCCATGATCTTGTACAGATTGAACTTTTATATGTTAAGAGGTATGGATCAAGGTTAAATTTCCCCTCTACAATTATCTAGTTGTTCCAGGACCATGAGTTGAGGTCCTTCTATTTCCCTTTATACATTTACTGAGAATCTATCACCTAGAAATGTAGAAATCTACCTCTAGACTCTCAATTTGATTTCATTGTTCCGCTCGTCTGTCCCCTTGCCCATTACCACACTATCTTGATTTTTGTATCTGTTGTGGCTTGAATCTGTAATGTCCTCAAAAGCCTCGTGTGTTCCAAGGTGGGACTTTTAGGAAAAGACTGCATCATGAGGACTTTGACTTCATCAGTGGATTAGTCTGTAGGTGGCCCCAGGGACTACTGGGAGGCGAGACCTAACTGGAAGAAGTAGGTCACACGGGATCATGCCTGAGGCTTTATCTGCTCCCCAGCCCCTTCCTCTTCCACTTCTGGACTGCTAGGAGTTGAGAGTTTCCCTCTGCCAAGCCCTTCCGCCATGACGTTCGGCCTCCCCTGGGCCCCAGGGCAATGGCGTCCCCTGACCATGAGCTGAATCCTCTGAAACTACGAGCCAAAATAAATCTCTCCTCCTCTAAGTTGTCTTGCCAGATATTTTGGTCCCAGTGATGAGAAGCTGAGGAGCACAGTATCTTTTTAGTAAATCCTTAAATCAGGAAGTGAATCCTCCAACATTAAAAAAAACAAAACAAAACAACTATAGCATTCTAAGTTTTTTTGGATTGCTATATACATTTTTGAATTAAATGATCAATTTCTCAAGGAAATTGATGGTTTTATTGGTTTTGCATTTAATATATACATCAATTTGGCAAGAATTGCACCTTAAGTATAAAGAGCCTTCCAATCTGAGCATTGTAGAATTTCCCGTTTCTTTAAATCTTTAACTTACCTCAGCAATGTTTCGTGGTTTCAAATATAAAGGCATTGAATGTATTTTGCTATAATTTATGTCACATATTTTGCAAATGGGATTGTTTCGAATTTTTATTTTGCAATTGTTTCCTGTTACTATAGGGCTGATTTTCAGATGCAGGTCTTGCATTCTTTAACACTGCTGTATTCACTTCTCTAGGGACATATTCTATATGTCTATCAACTTACCTGTATCTTAACAGTTAAGGGGTATTTTTTTAAACAACAATTAATTCTGTTTAGTTTTTTTTAATCCATTCAAGTTTCTGCTTTTCAATTGGAATGTTTAATCAGTTTACAATTGCTGTGAATATTGGTATAGTTTAATTTAAATCTGTCCTCTTTCTGGTTTTTTTTTTTGTGCTTTTGTTTTTATTTTTGCTGTTTTTTGCTTTGTTTTATACTAATTAAACGTTTTGTAGTATTTATTTCCCCAACTGGTTTTTTTGAGCTCTACTTCTTTGTGTGGTTTTCTTTATAGTTGCTCTAGAGAGTTAGTTATTTAACTTTCCATAGCCTATTTACAAGTAATATTGTGTCACTTCACATAAAATGCAAAGCCAAAGCAATATAATACTTTTTACTATTCTCCCCATCTTCGTTTTCTGTTATAATTCCATATTTCACTTATATACAAGTTACAGTCTCCACAATGCCATGGGATCATTTTCTTCTTTAAATAACCAGATGTCTTTCCATGAGTGTGAGATATAATCATGGGCTTTAATTGTTACACACGTATCCATATGTGTTGTTTTTTCTACAATAGATTTGATTTTCCATTTGTTGCTATCTCCCTCCAATTTTAAGAGCTTCCTTTTAGTGTTTCTTGTAATGCAAATCTCCTGGGATACCGTTCCTCAGCTTTTGCTTACCTGAAAGTCTTCATATCCCCTTGTTTTTTGATACTACCTTTTGGTGGTGGTTGTCATCTTGGCTTTATTTGGAGGGTAGATATGACATTCTGTATTGACATTATCCCACCAGTACTTTAAAAGATGTCATTCTTCTGTCCTCTGGGCTCAATAATTTTTTTTTTCCTGGTGAGAAATCAGTCACTATTCTATTCTTTGTTCCTTCCTATGTGACCATATGATTTGTGTCTTCCTCTGGCTTCTTTAAAGGTTTTTCTTTTTATTTTTGCTCCTAAGCAATTTGGTTTGGAGGTGCCTAGATATTGTTTTCTTTTTATTTATCCACTTTGAATTTCTTTGAAATTCTTGGATTGCAAGATTGATGTGTTTTTTTTAACTAAATTTGAGAACATTTTGGAAGAAATCTCTTCACAATTTTTTTTTTCTCCATCCTCTTTTCTTTCCTGGAACTCCAATTGCACATATGTTGAATGACGTGATTTTTGTCCCACAGATTTCTGAGATTCTGTTCATTTATTTTTTTTTAACATTTTGTTATAAATTTTATTAAACTTGGGAAATTGAAGTGATTATAGACTGAACATTCTTACTTCCACCACTAAGATTCTACCACTAATGTTTTGTTTTATTTCTAGGTATTTAATTATGTTTGAGGCTCTTGTGAATAAAATTGTTTTCCTGATTCAGCAGATTCATTATTGGTATATATAAAAATTACTGACTTCTGAATGTTGATTTTTATATCCTGCTACTTTGCTGTGTTTATAAGCTCTAATAGTCTTCTGATGGAGTTTTGGGGTCTTCTAAATACAAGCAAATGGTGAATATTTGACTTCTTTCTTTCTTATTTGAGCCTGTTTTAATTCTTTATCTTGCCTAATTGCTCTGGCTAGAATTTCATGTACTACATATTAAAAAGGAGTGGTGAGAGTGATATCCTTGACTTGCTCCTGATTTTAGAGGAAATGCTTTCAGTTTTTCTCCATTCAATATGATGTTGGCCTTGGGTTTACCACACATAGGCTCTATGATGTTCAGAAGAGTTTCTTCTATCACTAATTTCTTTAATATTTTTTTGTCCTTTAAGTCTTTTTTTTATTGGTTGTTCAAAACATTACAAAGCTCTTGACATATCATATTTCATACATTAGATTCAAGTGGGTTATGAACTCCCATTTTT